GATCTTCAAGTGTATACGCAGTCATCTCTTGAGAACCTGCCTACCGCTGTTTCTGCCATCAATGCTGACCTGGCGGCTATTAGCGAATGGAGTAAATACTATGGGCTTAAGGTTAATCCTTGTAAGTCGCAGGCCATTATTGTTGGTGGTGCTGGGATGATTTCAAGAGTTGACTGGAATAACTTTCCCTCGGTGGTATTGAATGGTGTTGTAATACCTTACAGTAGCACCGTTAAAAATCTTGGTATCCACTTCGATACTACTTTCTCGTGGTCTCATCAATTGAAAGAAGTTAGCAGAAAGACTTTTGCTGCTATGGGTTTATTGCGGCGTTTACGTTCTTTTCTTCCCATTCCTACTAAAATTATGTTAGCACAATCTTTACTCCTCTCTATTCTCGATTATGCGGGCGCAAGCTATCTTGATGTAACTGAAGATCAACTAAACAAACTTGAGCGTATTCAAAATCTGGCTATTAGGTTCATATTTGGCTTGCGCAAATATGACCATGTCTCCGAATTCCGTTTAAAGCTCAAGTGGTTACCCATTCGCCTTCGCCGGAACCTACAAATTGTTTCTCTTCTGTACTGTGTATTATTCGATCCAATGACTCCTAGCTATCTAAAGGAAAACTTTAAGTTTCTTGGGCATGACAGACCGGACAGAGTTCTACGGTCAGCCGGAGAACTTATACTCGCACCACATTCATATCGAACTAAATACTTTAAAAACTCCTTCACAGTTAAGGCCATCTGCTTATGGAATGATCTTCCTTCGCAAATTCGTCGTGCGAAAACACTAGAAAAGTTTAAGACTGACGTCAAAAATTACTAGCTAACAGTGCATTAACTACTGGTCATCATTTGCGACATGTATTTTTTGTATCCTCTCTGTATTTTTTTATTTAATTTTTATGTATATTTGCCTACTTAATCTTATGTATGTCTATTATATTTTGAATGTATATATTAGTGTATTATTTTTTTCATTATGTATCAGTTTAGTTTATTTAGGTATTAGTATGTAAGTTTACTATAATATACACCACCTCCCACTGTCCAATTGAACAACTTTCTCCTAATCTTAAGGTTGTCTGGAAGAGATCGCTTATTAGCGATAAGACCGCCTTATTGTACCTACCTCTTAAGTTTTACTCCTTGTAATTTGTTCTTTTTTATCGTTTTTTTGTGGTGTACAATAAAGTATAAATAATAATAATAATAATAAGATTAATTTATATTTGATGGTTGAATGTTTATAATTTGTACAAGTGGTTAAATTAAAAATTTTGTACAACCGACTTCAATATAAATAAGATGAGATCATCATCAATGTAGTCGAAGTCAATTAAATACCCATTATTAAGAATAACTCAAAGACTACTCAGATCTTGAGCAAATTTATAAGGGACCACATGAAAAGCACCAGCTTTCAAAAAACATGAGTGAATGTCGTGGCATACTCAGTTGGAACGAAGTTCTTTTCGTAGTATATTATTATTGATAAATGTGTTATATTATTGATTAACAAATGCAAATGAATAAATTGAAATAGACGCTAACTATTAAAATGAAGTTTCATTTAAAATAATATTTATTTCATGGCAAGATGAAAAAAGTGCGTGGGATATGTATATTATTCCATCTCGCTTGCATTATAGAAAGGGGGTCGTGACGGAAAAATCTTACAATTTTTCTCACCTAGCCCCCATCCGTCAAATTTGTACCGTGCTATAAGGAACTTCGTTCCAATAAAAAAATAATTTTCCAAATCGGTTCAAGCGTCTTCGAGTAATCGATGAACATACATAAAAAAACCGATGGATTGAGAACCTCCTCCGTTTTTTAAATCGGTTGAAAAAAAGGTGTTCAACTTGATTTAATATAGGAGCATACATCAACTGTTATACCTACTCAATTTGCTCTACATAGTTTTGCAGTATTTTTAATTGTACAGTGATTAGCTATAGTTTCTCAAAGTTTAAGCTTGGATGATCTACTTTGTGCTGTTTATTTTTTTATTTAGTTATAGCTGTGCCCGCGACTTTGTTTGCATAGAATCTTTATTAATAATTTATTGCTGTTAATGTTTTATTACATTGGGCCGGTTGATATATTGTTTAAACTACACTACTGTTCCAACTCAAACAATAATAGTATAGATATCGTTATACTTACTAGGAGTAATTTCATAATAAAACAGATCAAGTGTATGTATGACTTAAACACTGTAGATGCATATGCGTTTAATATTATGTTCAAAATAAAACTAAGTTACGTAGTACGCACTGAAAAACACCTTGTACCCGTGTACACACAGACTTACGAGTATTATATTACCGCGTATGGTCCGGGTCATATTACACATACATTATCTACTTACATGTCAAATTTGAAGTCTTAAATAATTATAGTTATGGAAATTAGGCAACTAGATGAGTCCTCTTTATTTCCTATCCCCGGGGAATTTCAAAAAATCCTGTAAATAGTTATTGATAATAATATATATTTTTTTTTTATAAAAGACTACAACTAAAAAAAATTTAATAAAAAGATTAAACTATTCAATATGAAATAAGCAGTGCCTTTGTACAAAATATCTTCTTTTTTTCTCTTCCTTGTAACATTATTTTGTGTGTACATAAATTGTTAAATAAATAAATAAAAGATAAATGAAATCTGTGCAAAAGAACACAATATAACTGATGAGAAGAATCAACGCTCCGGGAAGTCTGTTCTATTCAGGATTGCCCCCGCCATTGCATCAGTTTAGATAGACTACAAAATATATTTTTTATAGAATATGTGTGACAAAAGAGCACACAGTCCACCTGATGTTAGGTGAATACTGTTGCCCATAATCATCTACATTTATCCTAGATTAAGTGTTAAAATGCAGACGCGTTGTCTAACCTGAAGACTAAGATGAAATGCCTCGTTTCCAGTAAAAAGGTTTTCCAGTTCTCCACTATCACCATACGGAATACAGTAACATTAAGCTGCTATTTTACGCTGGTATTCTGTGAGAGCGTGGTCCTTAACCGGCCGAGCCAACCCATGCATGATACAACTAATATAGCTGCAGCGTGGCTCTACCACGTATAAACCTATATAGTTATTCATATGCCAAATTTTAAGTCTCGAGTAATTACAGTTATTACAGTTAGGAAATAAGCAAAAATTGTAAAGACGAAACATCCAGAATTTTATTAAATTATCTTTAAGTAAGATAATATATCTAGAAACACTTTACCGTACCCCTATTATAAAAAGCACTCAATGCTTTAAAAATTGTTCAACTAGCGACAAAGGAAAGCAATCCACTTACTTATGTATATACCGGACAGGGATAGACTTTTTTATCGCAAAAGGGTGACAAACGAGCACACTGTCCACCTGATGGTAAGTAGTTGTTGTTGCCCATAGACATCTACATCTATTCTCGATTACGAATCAAAATATTTTTTAAAATATTTAGGGTTGTCACTCTTGAGGACTAAGATGCACTGACTTCTTTCTATTTCCTTAAATAAATAATCTACTGAAAGAGTACGAATACTTTTAAGAGCAAAAATACATCTTTTGCGTGGATTTTTTTCAATAAAACTTAAACCTTATTTCTTACCAAGCAACAGTCATTCCTAAGTCGTCAGCATTTCTACCGCTTTATTAAAATGTCCATAAAACGACTATTGAAAATCAATTTATCTTCTTCAAGAACGGTAAAAACTTACTACAGGTGATCCATATATTAAGACCAGTTTTTATTCTCATTGTAAAGTAAAATCTTTTAAGTTCTCGACGTAATTGACTCAATTTACTTGCTATCTTTGCATAGTAAATGCTATAATTTTGACGAGTAAGCAGTATCTAAATTGAAGTCTCACTCAGTTTTTTTTTAATTATAAAGGCATAATGAGAGCTTACTTAGAAGGAGTTTATCTAACGTTACATGTTATTTAAAATATATAGATAATAAACTATTTGTTTTATTAACGCGTAATAAAAGGTACGGCAAAAAGAATCTTCGTATTTTATATACAAATTCACGACTTTTTTGAGTACACAATTCATTAGGTTTCTTTCAATGAGCTATCTATAGCTTTAGCCACTACTACTGCTAGCTACTAGCTTACTAGCTATAGATATCTATATATTTCACATTATTATAACAATATAATATAAAAGTTACATCGTCTTATAATCGATATTGATAAGTTTGCCCAATATAACGAAACCAAACGTTCAATGTCAAAACGAAGTCGAATACGATTACCACTGCTTTTCCCCTGTGACCGAATCAACGGAAATTTAAAATAAGTTAAAATAAATGCAACAAAATTATTATTATTTAAATCAATAAGAAAATATTTATTAACATCGGTAGGTACTGTTTCTCAGAAATGTGAAACTTCAACTTATGAAGTTGCTGCAGTAATTAAAATCAAACCAACATCCGCGTCATCAATATCGTATTACATATATGTATATACATATGTATATATGTGTATACATACGAATCTTACAACTCTTAATCGTCACGCTTAGCAGACGGACAGTGTTCCCCGTGCTGGTCTACATACCGCCATCCATCGAAAGACATAAGGTTTCTCTGGAAGTTTTGACGGGAACTAGACCGGTGACGGATTGCTGCCACCGGTCTAGTTTTCATCTGCTTGTTAAAATAATGATTTTAAGTAGATTTTAATACGTACAAGTGGTCCGATTTTGTGTACTAAATGTCTGCGTATTTTATTGAATAAGGATGACAAACGAGCACACAGCCCACCTAATGGTAACTAGATGCTGTAACCCCCTAAACATCAATACCATGAATTGACCTTGAAAAACATGTGTATTAATTACCTAAACGAACAGTACCCGACTTACTTGAAGATATTTACAGATGGTTCGAAAGATAATTTTGGAATCGGGGCTTCATTTTACGATATATTGCACGGTATGGCAATAAAGTTAAAAATCAATGGGAGTATTTCAATAATGGAAGCTGAGCTTGTGGCAATCTATGAAGCTTTATCCTACACACAGTCAAGTAATTATAACAATGTCGTTATTTTAACCGATTCAAGGAGTGCGCTTCAACACCTTGCTCGGTGTACTTCGGTTTTCCGAGGCTTACCAGTAGCATATGCGATTTTACAGCTTCTAGTTAAGTTACAGGCTGATTCCAGAATAGTATATTTACAGTGGATACCTTCGCATATTGGCTTAGAGGGTAATGAGAAAGCTGATATCTTAGCCAAGCAAGCTATCTCTGATGGCATTGACATTGATATTACCCCTTCATTTCAAAATTACATACCTTTATTGAAAAAATATTGTTATGATCTCTGGAAAGAATATTTTGACGAAAGATCAAAAGAAAAGGGTATATGGTACCGTACGATCCAGCCACACCCAAAGCAATCAACCTGGATAGATAACAGAGTATTGTGTAGACGCAACACTGTAACAGCATTAAGACTCAGATCTGGACACATTCCATGCAATAAATTTTTATACTTGATGCGAAAAATTACCTCACCAAATTGTTCAATTTGTAATATTATCGATGATGTTTATCACATTTTGATAGAATGTGCCCAGAACTCAAGAGAAAGAGCAAATTGTAATTTACATTTGTCCTTAATTGGTAGTAGTAACAGTATTTTATCCGACCCGTTATCAGATGATGCCAAAAAACTGTATTTGTTAGTTAATAAGAGATTAAGTAACTCGTAAGTATAATAAGTTTATTTGTTAGTAATTATATTTAAGATTTTTATGTAACTACCAGGGCGGCATAATCGCACCAGCGACAAAGCCCTTTATACATGAATAAAAAAAAAAACCATTTTAACAGTGGTAGAGCCACGCGGCAGCTTTTGCTGTCGCACGGATGGGCCGGCTCGAACCGGGGTAGTACCACGACCTCACAGAAAACCAGCGTGAAGTAGAGGTTTACCTCTGCGTTTCGCTTGGTGAGTGCAGGTGGCCGGAGGCCCTTTTTATTGGAAATGAGGCATTCCATCTTAGTCCTCACGGGTGACAACGCATCTACATTTTGATTTCTAACAGAGGATAGATGTAGATGTCTATGGGCCGCAGCAACCACTTACCATCAGGTGGACTGAGTGCTCGTTTGTCACACTTATCCTATTAAAAAAAAACCTTCATCGATCAATTATTAAGAATCGAAATGCAGATGCGTTGTCTCCCTTAAGGGCTTAGATAAAATATCTCATTTCCAGTTATAAAGGTCTCTGGTTCTCTACACTCACCATACGAAACACAGCAACATTAAGCAGATATTTTAAGAGCGTACTCGTTCTACGGTCGAGCTACAACCATAACAGTTACCACGTATATGTGAACTATTAGTGGAAACGGTGAAAGAAGTGCTCTGGTGGTGATGTAAAACTCGAAATATAAATTTCTTATTACTTGACACCATTGAACTTTTAGTAGTAGGGCAATGCTTCACACTGGTAAAAGTACAACAGTACGATTCTAGTATCAAAGAAAAAAGTTTTCTAGCATTTCCTCTCGTCGCCTGGCTTCTCTCACGCCGCTACCACACAACATACAATACTTTTTGTTATTTATTGCGATACGAGCAGTTTTAAAGTTTTTTTTTAACATTCAATGATGTTCGCAAAACTCTACATTACAGCGTTTTCTTTGTCCGTATTCATCATTTTAATGTCCTGTCCAACGTGAATTGAAAATAAATGGGGAAACGTGTATACCAAGCGCTCTGCCATCCCCGCAGTCTGTACAATCTATTCCGTATATTTCACATCATAAATATTTGTCAATTTACCGACGAATGTCGTTCCCTTTGTGATTTTTTTATTATAATAGAAGCAGCAAGTTAAAGCGATTGAATTTTTATTTACGTATTTAGAAAAATAGCTTTATTTTAGTAAAATAGGCTGTGATATAGGAATTGTGTCAATGAAATTGAGGCGTGTTGCTGCTTCTTTAACTTTAATTATACTGTCCTTATTCTACCTTAACACTAATATATATATAGTCGTGGGGGCTATACTACACTACACCTCCCACCGACAAAAAAATAAAAAATAAATACATTTGGTTTTTTTTTTAACTTATAAAAATAAATATATAACGTTAATCTAATAATAACATAAATTACAAAAGTAAATCCTATGGGTAGTTCGGGTGGCCATATCCCTCTGCCCCATAGTAATTTCAACGTCATAATAGAATTGGTATGATGTACCTATCATGCATATATACAACATACTTATTTGACATAATTAGGTAATTCGCGAAGTTCTAGTATAGTTGTTCATTCATTTATATTTTAAAATACTCTTGTCTTATTTATTTATTCATACTTTTTAATCTCATTCCTTATTTTCGAGTTAGGCCTTTTTATTATCTTTTTTTTTTCATAATTCTTGTACGTACTTTATTTTCTTGATATTTTTTACCTTTAGCTAGCTTTATTTCTCTCTATTCACTTATATATTTATTTATTATTTAGATACCGAGAATAGGATTATTAATTCATTTCATTTATATTTTATTTCGTGATATTTATCACGCGGGTACTTTATAAATATATTTGGGTATTATATTACATTTCCATTACATTCATTTTATTTTATTGGTACATAAACTTTTTTTTAATCATACTATATCAAGGCAATACTGTACCTTGGGTTGTGCGCATAACCTTGAGGTCTACGTTGAAGTCATTTTAAAAAGACTCCAACAATTGTCACGGAGGAAATCTAAGTTCACACTATGATCCAATGAAGGATGAGACCTCTATGTACCATTATTAAGGGTAACAATATTTACGACTTCTCTGGTCCCAACAGTACTAATATGAGTAAACTCGTTCACATCTCACTTGTACTGTAGGTATTGTTCCCTAGTACCCGTTACTTCCGATTTTATCATCCAATCATGGAAACACACCCTGCTCGAGGACTATATGTTTTACCAGTGATGGACGTTCCCGTATCTCTCCATTACTTATTTATGCAGGTCAACTTTTGTTTTATTTCTATTTATTTCTTTACATTTATAGTATTTATTAATCATTATTTATTGGTACCATAATTTTCACGTACACGGCTCGTGTACATACATGATTAATATTATGGATAATATTCTTATACAATTCATAATAAATTCTCATTTACCTCATTAATAATACATTAAAACTTATTCCGTATTTAATAATGTCAAAACCACCTTAAAAATTAATCGGTTATTAGGTTTTCCAAACTCTCAGCTGATCAAGCTGATTGTATGTGGATATGATAACCTCCGATAATTTTTATTTACCTTACTCTCACACTTAGGTACACACTATTAATATTTTTCATTTATAATTACTGATTCCGTAACTTAGCCAAACATTTACTCACATCTTTTACAAATTTATATCATAATATAGTTTCATATAATATATAGTCATCATTGTCAGTCAGGGATTGAGGCTCACAATATGGGCACACAATAAGTTTTAAAATAGAATTAAACGAAGTAATTATTTTCATAATCCACACAAATAGGTTAGATATTCATTCTAATATCCCAAAAATAATAAATTATAATAGTTAAAACTTTATGATATGAAAGTTTAATCAATATTAAATCAAAAATAAATTATTGCATTTCATATTAAGATACAGAACAAAGAAGTCAAAGCAACGTAATCATTTTCAATAACAATAACATAATCACATAACAACAGATAGATCAAAGTACAAATTGTAATTCCACTCTTAGCAGCGCAAGCGATTTGAGACACTTGTTTTAATTACCAAATTACGTATATGGAAACGTCTGCGATAACATATGATCACCTAATTCTAATATAACTTATACAATGTTATTATTACATACATATATGGATACAAGTAAAATGATCGTTTAAAATTTCTTATTTATTATGCAGAAGTTTAGGTGGTTACATTACTTTTACCTGGATCGAAAGAGATTGCTAGAAGTATATTTACTATATCGTTTACAGAAAATAATTGAATAATCACTATAACACCTATCAACTTTACACAACAAAACATACATTAATTTAATCATTCAAAATAACGATTTTAATTTTAAGTAGGTTATTATATAACTTTAAGGTTCACTGCCTTTGTAAAAGAAAAGAGATAACACTTATTAATAATACCGAATTGTTTTTAACCCTTTTCAAATTGAATCTTACATTTAAATCAAATTTACTATAGAAAAAATAATCACAACGAAAAATATCATCGGTGTTATTTTAACTAAACGAAAAATTAATTTATGATAAACCATGGTAAATTTAAAAATGTATATTATTTCATTCGTTTTTCTGTTGTGTCCTGCACAGTAATAAAAATAATATAAATCAATAAACAATAACTAAATAAAATTTAATATAAAATTGTATTGTGCCTTAATACAAATGCCATAAATGCCTAAAATGTAATGTGCTTTTTTGATATTGTATTATGATTACATTTTTTTATATATATAAATAGTGATAAAAATATTGAAAAATCAATTGTATCGTGAGTTATCTGATAAATAAGTTCAATTTAAACATACGTGTTAAACATAATATGGAACATTTTTACTTAACTTTAACAAATATTATAGCAAAAAAATATAAAAACAATCTCAAATTGAGAAATAAAGTTTTAAATGGAATTAAAATCACACAGGTGCGAAGTTACCTCTTAATTTTCTTCTTTGTTCTTCTGGACGAAGCTTGCAAGAGTACAACCGCTGCTTTCCTTTTTAATTTAATCTGCCGTTTCTTGAATTTTGTTCTTTGGTAATTATATTTTTAAAAAAAACACTTTTTATTTTCCTCATTCTTTCTTAGTTGCTTTCATAGTAGGTACTATTATACATTTGAATTATATTACTTCATGTTCATTATACTTTTTATATTTCAATCAGCTTCTGTAAAATTATTATAGTGGCCTCTTCTTTTATTCATATTCATTTATTTTTCGTCACATCCGGTATTGCGTCCATTCTGTTATAATATAATTTTATTTTTAATTGGTCAATCCATGATGATTTCCATTTTTTTTTTTGTAAATTTTTTTTCTCTTTATGTAGGCCCGGCGGTGCGCGTGCAATGTAGCAGCGCACCGCCTGGCAGGGTCGCCATGTGATATAGGAATTGTGTCAATGAAATTGAGGCGTGTTGCTGCTTCTTTAACTTTAATTATACTGTCCTTATTCTACCTTAACACTAATATGTATAGTCGTGGGGGCTATACTACACTACAAGGCTATTCTTTGGTTCTATTTATATTTTTTTCTTAATAAACGATGCCCTACAGAAATTCTTGTCAGATTAAAATTTTCGTTGTAACCATTACAGCAAAAATCATTTCTTATTAGTACAAAACTAATTGATGAATATTTATTTATGATAAGCAGCAAAGTTTATATGAATGAGGAGTGGAGAAACCTAAAATTTATATAATATGTAATAAATAGTGTTACATAATTATACATGAAATTAAACATTAGTTGCTAATGTCATACTGCCAATTTTAAACACATAAAAATCTGTGGTCAAACCACACAGAGTAGAGATTGTACCCTAAGAATTTGAAAATGTTGCCAATAAATAATTACTACTTAAATAAGTGTGATTACAAATGCTCGTTTTTCAGTAGTCTGCGGAGTGTATGTCAAGAAAAAAATGTTTATTCCATGTTTGTATGTGAGATATAC